TTGGGCGTAGCAGCCATGAATATGGTAAAACAAGAAAGGAAAGATGAAGACTTGGGCAAAAGCTTTGAATTGAAAACTGGCGCAAGGAAGAAGAGCTCTATAAAGGGGATAGTCACTCAAAATAGCGGAATCCCCAAATAAGGGAAGAGCAAGTACATATATAGAGCAAGCGGCGACTGTTCGCCTATTCGGAAGGCCAATTAATTCTGACCATGTCAGTACTACTTTTTGGGGAAGTGTACTGGTGGGACCCCCCCCCCTCCCCGGTCACTTCGCAACCATATCACACAAATGAAACTGTCATACAACGCTCGAGAGCCATCAAGGTCTTGAGGTTTTGAGGATCCCGGTACTACAAGCTTGGACTCTAAAAAGAACTATCAACCTAGTATCGTGATGGTGCCCAATCTCGGGGGTCCCGATTACTCCAAGTATGGGCTCCGAAGAGCCAACATCAAAATTCAATGGCTAACTTCGCATGAGCGCTGAAATAAAAATAAAAATAAAAAGAAGAAAACGAAGATTTGAAGCACAAGAATCTCTTTATATTTCCAAAAATATATTTACAAGGGGTATCTCTACAAAGCCTTTCCCCAGAAAAATTCATATACAAAAACGAAAAGAAGAAGACGACATGAGTCTATTCCTCACCCTCACTACTCTCTGGATCATCTCTGGAACCCTCGTCCGAAGTGGCCGAAAATGCCGATTCTTTCTCCAAGATTCGGGCTTCCTCGATCTCGGCCGAGAGATCGGCGCCTTTGGTGCTTGCTTCCTCGAGAGCCTCCCTTCTTGCTTGCGAACGAGCATAAGCAACGGCCCGAGTCAGCTTCCGCTTGGCCTCATCGGATATTTCTCTAGCTCGTTCATTTGCGGTGGCGGCATCTTTCATGTATGAAGATGCATTTTCTTTGGCCTTAGACTTGGCCACGGTTAGTGCAGCAGCCTCCTTCTAAGCACTTCGAAGAAGATCCTGGTTCGATGCCAACTCCTCCCACAAAAGGTCCCTCTTCGAGGTCACGGCATCATTCTGCCCCTTCAGCTTGAGGATCTCCGCATCCTTGGCTGCAGCCTCTTCCTAGAGCTGCCCCACCAGGGCATCCTTTTGCCCAATCTATAAAGGCAAAACAAGTTGATAAGCATCAAGTTATAAGAATAAAAGACGAGTTCTTGGATGACATGTTACCTGCTCAGAAAGGTCAGCCCTTTCCTGGCGCATTCCCTCGAAACTCGCTCGAAGCCTGCTCAACTCCTCCCCCTTTCGGGCAGAAGAGGTCTTCGACTCTTTATGCTCCGAGCCACAGCTCGAAAGTTCATCTTGAAGCCTAGAGAAGGCATGGTCATACATTTTCTTAGCCTGCAAGAAAGCAGAGAAGTTAGAAAGTCAAGGGCAAAGATTTGAAGCGCAAAAGTTATGTCAAAGAATATCACCTGTTGCTGAAGCCTCTCCGCCTCCTCGCGAGCGACGGGAGCATCGAGATCAATGTCCTCGTCGACACCATTGAAGAGGTCTCGAGCACATCTTCCCCTCCGTGAGAGGCCCCCACACCGGCGGTATCAGGGTCCTGTGCATCCCTGATTTCCCCGGTGAGTACGAAGAGCCCAAATTAAGGCCACCCAGAGCACTAATTTCTCTAAGGGTCTCATCTTGCCCCCAAGAAGCCTCGGGTTCAGGCCCTCCGGAATCACCAGCAGCGGGTTCGTCGACACGGACTATACCATGTCCGACTTGAAACTCGGGGACTATGCGCGCACCCTCCACGAGGGTCCCCTCAGCATGGGTTTGGTCCATATCGACCACCCCCGATTCGGCAGCTTTCCGCCCAATAACCTGTGGAGCATCGGCGCCTCGTCTCGTTCTTTGTACCAAAGGGCCTTCATCATCATCGTCATCTTCATCCTCAGTGAGGGGACTTGTCACAGCAGTCGAAGTCGAGACCTTGGCGTCAGTCTGAGGCCTGCGAACTTTGGATTTCTCTGATTTGGGAGACTCAGCTGACGCCTCCTTCTTTCTCTTCTTACCCTTACCGGGTTTCGAGGTCCCTTCCTCACCATCAGGAGGCGGTCTCATCAACACTCCATCCCAGACGCCTACGCAAGTGTGATGCATCAAACTTACCACCACAAAAGATATTCATAAGGAAACATGGTAAAGATAGCAGTAAAAAGTGTACCATGGTTCTTGGCCTGCCACCGTGTTCTGGCCAAGTCGTGCCAAGAACGCTCGATATAAGGGAAAGCAAAATTTAACTATCCGATCCATCCCGATAGGTTCTGAACCGCGCTGGGGTACCAAGCGGTGGCTGCATAATCAGAAGAAGATCATTTTCAAAAAGGGAAGAAAGGGCAATAGAACTGCTCGAGGTAGGGGCACTTACGCTCCATATTCCACTCCTCCGGGAATGGCATCCTACTAGCCGGGAGAATGTTCGAGGTCCTCACTCGGACAACCCGACTCATCCACCCCCAGTCCTTATCCTCATCAATGCTCTAAAAGAACATCTTTGCGGATTGAGGGTGAAGCTTGATCAAACCTCGAAAGAGGCGGGGGCTATATAGTCTGATCAGATGATTAAGGGTAAAGGTCATACCCCCGACCTTGTTGGAAAAATATCAGAGCATATAAAAGATCCTCCAGAAAGAAGGATAGATTTGGTCGAGTGTCACCCGGTACTCACGACAGAAGTCGAGAATCACCGGATCTATCGACGGGGAAGAAGGGTCTGAAGAATCTATGGGACCCAAGGTAAAGGGGTATGTATACACGCTGACGAAACCAGCCTTATGGTCCACTATTCTTTCCCCAGGATTGGGGATCTCAACTACCACTGCCTTCCCCCATTGGCAGTCTTTTTTCACTTTATGCGTATCGGTCACCATGCTGATATACCGAGACACGTGCTCATATCGGACCGGTGTAGAAGGTGGATTCTTGATGGAAAAATCGGATACAGTATCGAATTCGGTAGGAGTGGATTGCTCGACAGTTGGGGGGGTACTTTTGGTTTACCCCTGTATGGGCGAGATAAAAAAGATGTGCCCTCTTTCTGAGGTATCGTTCTAGAGGTTCTAGCCATGATTATAAAAAAGGTTTCTGAGAAAGAAAGTGAGGAGGCAAGCGCAGAAGGGAGAAGAATGTGGAATATGATGAACTTAGGTCTAAAAAATTGAAGATGTTGTAAAAGTGTGAATGACAAAACGGTTGTGGTATTTATAGAAGCCACATGGGCAGCGTTTGGAGAGCGGAAAGGTCAAACCAATAGCGGTTCGTGGGTTTTCTCGATAGTCGTGTTGACAGCAACCCCTGTGCAGTCTTTCAGTCATGGCATTTAATGCTCTAACGGACTGACGTCATGATGGTAGTATCGAAGAGATGAGAGTTCAAGACCGTTTCTTATCATTTTCATTCTAAGAAATGCGGGAACTATCTGTATACGGTGAAAATCAGAGGGTCCGATTTTATGGCCATTATGACACTTCATAAGCATGTATCCAGGAGGCTCGAGGCTCATCTCGAGGTTCGACCCCGAGGGTTCTTAGCGCTCGACCTTGGGCAGTACAAGTCGGTGGTTATGATGGTAAAACGGGAAGTTCCCCAAGCACGTGATTAAAGCTGACCATGTCTATTAGGCTAGTACAAGCCCGTACCGTGGCATTAAATGGCTGTATCAGTCGCGTATCTTTGTAATAAATGCGTCTGTACCATGTTAGAATACAACACACTACATTGAATACAAGAACAAGAACAATCTCTGCTCTAACTTAAACATATTCTCCTTTGATCTTATTACTTACATTTCTTGCTTGCATTTATTGTGTTTCATTAATTGTTCTTCATTTATTACTCATTATTGATCATAAAGAGCCCTCATCAAGGCCCTTAGAACTGTTAGTTCTTCATCGACTGTTCAGAGCCTAACGCCTAGCTCGAACTCGAGGCCCCGTATAAGCGAGCTCGAGGCCCCGATTATGAGCCACTTGGTTTGCTTGATACACCATCTTCAAGCCCTTACCTTATTTTCTAGTCTCACACTTAGCATCTACTGCCTAACAACTAACATAAAAATAAATCACGTATTTTTAGAACCACAAAATTAAATCTAATTGTAATTACCATTTTCAAGGCAAGTGTGTGTGTGTGTGTGTGTATATATATATATATATATATATATATATATATATATATATATATATATAATGTTATCCGTCTAGTGAAGGATAAAAATACCTCGAGAAGAAACAAAGAAAAATACTCCTAATGAGGAGATTTCAAATAGCAAACATCAAAGGACATCTATTTCCTTTGGACAATTTCAGACAGTCAATAATGAGATGGAATCACCCAATATCAGTCAATTTATCACAATCAGTGTATACACTATCAAGAGAGAATCATGAGAGGGCGACCCTAGGGGGATAGATACATATCCATAGGCTGCACGACAAAGACCTCATGCCATAATAGTAACAATATCATCATAATCACACGGTAAAGACATCATGCCATAACCTCATCAACACCACAATATCCGTACGAAGAGACCTTGTGCCAACACCAAAGGAATCTCCTCAATATGCCCATATGTGCCATAATCATAGCAATCCAAGATATAAATTTATGATAAAGAAGACATATGCTCATAACTCATCAATAAGGTGCACAAATACATAATAATAATAATACAGTGCGAATGCGTGCTCAAGATGTGAAAAATGACTACAACTAAATCAATTATAGTAAAAATTCCAAAATAACCCATCTCGGATAATTAGTAGCTAATAATCCTAGTTAAACATGATCTCTAGCATGAAAGGATAAACTCGTGTAGTCATACAAATGATTAAACATAGATCATGTAAAGCATGTAATCTAAACAAGTCATATAAGAAGCCTAAAGTCTAATCCTACACTACAAAAAAAAAGGTAAATTTGCGGAGGTTTAATTGCGACAGTTATTGTAACCTCCGCAATTTATATCAAATTGGGGGTTTTTATACAACCCCACAAATACGTTATATTTGCGGCGGTCAATAACCTCCGCCAACCTTAAAAAAATGCGTACTAACCCCAATTTTCCCCTCTTTTTTGATAATTTTCCTCTTTTTTCCCCAAACCCCTCCCTCACTTTCACGAAAGAGAAGCTTTTCAGCTTCCATTTGGACCGTAGGGGGGTTCACGCTTGGACCGTCACTAATGTAAATTTTTGCTTTCTTCCCCATTCTATGAAAGAGATTCACAACGGTAAGTTTGATTGTGGGTTCAGATCTATGGTAATTCCTCTTCCCCATTCTTTGATTTTGCTTTTCTGTGTTTCTTTTTTCTTGCATGTGGGTTTTAGGTTTATTTCCTTTTGTTAATTTGTGTTTTTCCTTAACTGATTTTTCCTCTAATTTGTGGCTTTTCTGTATTACGATTCTCTACTGAGAGTAACAGAAATTTTAGTTGAATCAGTGTTTTTTAAAGAAGGATATAACACTCTCTTTTGAATTCGAGATGTAAGTCTTCTTTCTCCTTCTGCCTTAGGTATTTTAGGTTGTAAAATTTAGCTTTTTTGGTATTTTTGTAGGTTAATTTCTGCGATTTTGGGTCTACTTAATTGAAATATTTCCTCTTGCATGTGTATTTTAGAATTCCTGAGGACCTTTAGAGAAGACACAATTGTCACTAGTGGCTATTCCTCTTTCTGCTCTACATGGTGTTTGAATCAATCACAAGGTACAAATAAATTTTTAGTTTTCTTCGTAGTGTTGAATATTAATCTTTTTTCTTTCTAGGTTTGTAATACAAAATGTGCAGATAATAGATTAGGTTGCCTGAACATCAATTTTGCTTTCTTTCAAAAGGCTGATGAATCAATAACATATTTTCTATTTTATTTGTCAAGTGATGAGGAATATATTAGACTGATATTATCAGTTTATGGGATTTGGTTAACAAGTAATTACATATGTATTGCAGTTGTTATACTTGTGATCGTTCATAACATTATTAACATCTATCACGTTTGCAGTTTCCTACAATACATTTCTTTGGCAATTTGACTTCATCTTCATGCCTTCTCTTCTGTGGAAGAAATTCTTCCACAGAAAATATTAACAAATGTATGTAAATTGCGGGTTTTAGTTGTTTTTTATTCTGGAGTTGCCTGGAATTTGACACTCCCCTGAATTATGCTTCACAACATTGTTAATATATTCTTTGTTGGCTTTTCAGAAATTTGGTTTTTTTACTGTGGAGAGCATTGCCATTTCTTGGGCTATATTATGGCATCATTGATAATTACAAGCTGTTAGCAACTTAGCAGAAATGTGTAATGTGGTGCAAGTAGAATGTGTCTGGTTGAATCTAGCATTTTGCATTTTCTTTCTAATATTTGACCAAAATGTTAATCATAGTGGTTAGTCTTTCTAATGGAAGGAAAGTACTTTTGAAATGTGAAGGACTAGTTTTTTTGTTATTAAGTTATAATTTCAGTAAGGAAGGGCTGATCCTTTTCTTTTAATATACTTAGACTCTGAGATCTTAGGATTTGGTAACAGGTACTTTTGTTTTTGACTAATGTTAAGAGGAATCATTTGAATGTGAAGGACTAGCCCGTTCTTATTTATTCTCCCTATTTGTTTTTAAGAAAAAGAAGGGTGGTGAGTGTTCCTGTTCAGTTAATACCATTTAAGATACCTGAGATGTTAAAAGTTTTTTAGTAGGCCTTTTCTAGTATTTTATACCATTTAAGGCCTCTTCAGCTAATATTTTATACTTATCGTTGCTCCTATCTATAATCTGACGATTTGATTTCCTCCTTTCTTTAATGCTTGAGTTGTTTGTTCTCTTCTTTGCCGTTTCATATCAAAACAAAGTAAAAATAATAGTTCCAACTTTTACAGTATTGGAGCAGGGGCCAGCTCCCACCTAAATAATGAAGCTTGCTTGCTTTACATAGATAATGAAGTGCTTGCTTGCTTTTATTATCTTCTTTAGGAATGTTTGTATTATCTTTGTGATCTTAAAGTGGATGTCAATGGTGAAGAAATCTTTATTGTTGATAAGGTAGATTTTCTTTATTTTTGCTTTCTGCTTCTTCTCTTTTGTCTCTATAAAATATGATCAAGCTCTGCTTTTCCCCTCCCTTTTCTTGTTTGTTTGTTTGTCCAAATTGTTACCTTCTTAATTATGTTATTCTATTTTTAGTTCTAATTCTCAGTTCTTAGATTTTGCTTGGTTTGCATAAAAGAATTATGTGTTTTAGATGCATAGATGTGACTCCTTTTATGTTTTAGATAGTTGGTTTCTTCAGCACTGTTATTCAGTCTATTAGATGATAGCTATAAGTCTTGGCCAATGCTTTTATTTTATTGCTTGCATATATTTCGAAGCCCAAGCGTTACAAGAACTTCCAGAACTCAATTCAGTCAGCACCTACATCACAAGGTGTAGCACAAACTTTATCAACAACTGAATCAACACCTTCGCATTTTGATGATGCACCACAGCTGACTTCATTTATTCAACCGATAACACAACCAACACCTTCAGGTCATGTTGCAGCAAATCCGGTTCTGTTAGATCAGACCACAACACAGCAAGTTCCATCAGCCCGGGTCGCGTCACAACACACACCATCTAGAAAGTGTAGTGGACGTGTATCTACGCAACATTGGACTGTAGATGAAATAGGTATGTTATTGCCATAGACTATATAGCAGAAAGATTGTTATATTGTAAGTCAAGAAAAATAAAAGAGGTGGATTGAGTAAAACTTTGTAAAATAATAGAGCAGAAAGGCGTCGTTAATATCTTTCGGCAAAAAAAAAAAGCAGACATTTGAGAAACAGGGAGAAGGATATATTTACCTCTTAATTGATGTGAGAAGACGGTCCAAAACTTCACCTTCATAGCACTTGCTACATTATATTTATTAGCACATCAGAAACTACAGCCATTAACAATGCTTACTACAACTAGTCAGACTATATTTATTAGCACATCAGAAGTGCTTGATAACCTGCTTGACTTTAAATTTGGACGTATAGGTATCTTGTAGGAAAGAAGCTTCCTATGATATATTCTAACTTGTAAAACTTAGCTGGAGTGTGGCTTCGCAGGTATATTTTAGTTGAAGCATCTGCAACCTGATCTTGCATGTGTCAATCGATTGAATGATTCTATGAGCGCATGCTCTGCTTTTGTGCTTGCGGCTTGTGATCTAATTGACAAGGCATATAATAGGCAATTCAAGCATAAGGAATAACGAATTACATGCTCGATGCTTAAAACTGGAGGTCAATGAGTTCAGTGTGGGATCTGAAAGGTTCCCACACTTTCCTTAGCAGCTTTTTATATTGAAAAACAGGCATCTTTTTGTTATCTGTATCTGCTAACTTCTCTCTTGTGGGGGTATCACTACTTTTATGCTTCACTAATAGTGCATTGCAGTGCTAAATGATTATTGGTTACTGATACTTGAATGAAGCTAAGTGATTATTAGTTAGGATATTGTTGATGTACTTTTTGTTAATTATATTTTATTTTGATTGTTTTGTAGCCAAGTGATGCGGCTAGCGGATCCATTTCACCCATGGATATAAGAAGATCATCCGGTGGAAGTAATCCTAACAACAACCTTTGAAGTTGCTTGCAAATGTATTAGATAATTAAGCATCGTATTCGATTGAATGGTCATAGTAGATATTTTGTCCATAATGGTTGGAGTGGATGTTCTGTTTAAAGTTAGTTTTAAGAATAATTATAATATTGATGTTTTGTGTTTAATGGTTGGAGTAGTTGTGTTTAAAGCAAATTTTTGAGACTAATGTATTTTGTGGTTTATTAATATATTGACATTACTTGATTCCAGCAAGCAATTTATATAATTTGTTGATGCTTCATTATATTAATATAATTGAAATTGGAACAGTTATGGAGTAATATTATAGGGAAAACAATTCAATGAATAGCGGAGGTTATAACTGCCACTATTTAACTTATAATAATATTGTGTTATAAAATTTGTGGGGGCTAAATAAATAAATTGCGGGGGTTTAGACCTCCGCTATTTTTTTAATAAGTGACATCCAAACTACCAAATTGCGGAGGTTATATCGCCGTCAAATACCCGCCGCTATATGATAACGGCGGTCTGTCAAAGAACCCCCACAAATTGGTTGCGGCGAACATTATTGCGGGGGTTTTGGAAACCGCCATAAAAGTATATTGCGGAGGTTTCTGACCGCCGCAATATGTAAATAAAACCTCCGCAAATTCAGCATTTTTTTGTAGTGCTATCACGACCCTAAAACCGATCCGGTCTTGATGGCGCCTATCGTGAAATTAGACCAGCCGACACAGTTCCCAAATTAAACCATTATTCGATAAAAGTCATTTTTAAGCCATAAATTAACAAGAAATCTCATAATATAAGTCTAAATAACCAGTGCGGAATGAATATACAAGCCCGACATCGGGGTGTCACAAGTCACGAGCATCTACAACTCTGTCTCAATACAATAAAGTCTAACAAAGTCTGGAAGACAAAACTAAATAAATCTAGGGAAGATATGAGGGAGAAGAACAGGGCTGCGAACACCATGCAGCTACCTTGTCGACTCCGAAATCCTACTGAATGGACAATCAATGCTCACTATCGAGACCCACAACTCCTGGATCTGCACACAAGATGCAGGGAGTAATAACTCAGTAAGTAATAAAAGTAAATGAAAGCTGAGCAGTAAGAAAACACATAATTCCACGCCATAACACTGCAACAAATACAGTACATTGCCCAAAACAGTACAGAAATCATGTGGCTCGTAAAACAAACTTAGTTTCAGAAAAACCTTTCCTTTTAAAACATCTTTCAATAGTTTCAAACGAGTGATGAAAACAGTGGGTAAAAATGATAGAAACGTAAACAGCCCCTCAGGCAAAACATGTACCATAAACCGCCCCTCGGGCAAAATATCAACAGAACCAGCCCCTCGGGCTACCTCACAATCACTCATCATCAGCCCCTCGGGCAACATCATAATCAAGATAAGTCCCTCGGGCTACCTCACCATCACTAATAATCAGTCTCTCGGCAACAACATAATCAAGATCAGCCCCTCGGGCAGCATCACATCACACACACTGGGTACCCGCGCTCACTGGGGGTGTTCAGACTCCGGAGGGGCTCCTACAGCCCAAGCGCTATAACAAGCCATCTCGTGGCATAAATCAGTCAAGCCCTCGGCTTCATAATAACAAGCCACCTCATGGAATAAGTCAATCAGGCCCTCGGCCTCACAATATCATGAATCAGTAACAACTTGCTACGACGTGCAGCCCGATCCCATAATATACTCACAACACAGGCCCTCGGCCTCACACAGTCAGAAACCTCTCAAGACACTCGGAATAACAGTAAAACAGGATGCTCAGTCCAAAATATCATCCATAGCATCAAAACGGAGTAAATAGAACTGAGTTATGAAATCAGTAAAAACATAGCATGACTGAGTGTAAATATTAAACAATAAATAGTGAGGAAGCAGTAGTAAAAAGCCCCTAAGGGTCCAAACAGTTGGCACAAGGCCCAAACATGGCATTCAGCCCAAAACATGATAATACTTTCCAAAATACAATAATATCAAATAGTTTCCAATTAAATACGCGACTTAATAGTTGTACGGGATGGACCAAGTCACAATCCCTAACGGGGCACGACCCCACGCTTGTCATCTAGCGTGTGCGTCACCTCAAAGTAGCACAACGATGTGAAATTCGGGGTTTCATACCCTCAGGACAACATTTACAATCATTACTTACCTCAATCCGGTTCAAACTCTAGCCCGCGGTGACTTTGCCTCTCGAATCGGCCTCCGAGTGCTCTAAATCTAACGAAAATCGGTATCATACCATTAATACACGCTAAAGGAACAAAGCCCAAGCGAAAATAATCAAATTAACTCAAAAATCCTGAAATTGGCCAAATCCGACCCCTTGGCCCACGTCACGGAATTCGATAAAAATTACATCACTAGAATCCTTATCCTCCCACGAGTCTATACATACTAAGAGCATCAAAATTGGACCTCAAATGGCCCCTCAAATCCCCAATGAAAACTTTCCAGTTTCAAGCCCTAATTCTCAATTGTAACCCTCGGTTTCAAATAATTTCATGCCTAATCAGTCAAAAAGTACCATAGAATCGATTATTGAGTTCAAAAATCTTAACTCAAAGCGTTACCCATTGAATCCTCTTCAAATCCTCTCAAAAAGCTCTAAACCCGTCTCAGAAATGGAGGAAATAAGTTGAAAATCGCGAAGATGGCCTTTTATACTTTCTGCCCAGGCATTTCTGCACCTGCGGACAAATTAACGCACCTGCAGTCTACTTAACCGCATCAGCGGTTTTTCATTAAAATCCTCAGACGCCGCACCTGCGACCCAGGTGTCGCACCTACGCGCTCACAGATGCGGTCAAGACCTTGCTCCTGCAATGCTTGCCGCTTCTGCGATCTACCTTCCGCTTCTGCGGCTCGCACCTGCGGTCCCCAATCCGCAGGTGCGGTTATGACAGAAACAGTAGCTGAAGCTGCTCAACTCCAATTCCAAACTTTCCGACAACCTTCCAAACTCATCCCGAGGCCCCCGGGACCTCAACCAAAAATACGAACAAGTCATATACCACTATTCATACTTATACCAACCCTCGAAACACTCAAAACAACGCCGAAACACTAAATCACCCACGGATTCAAGCCTAAGGATTCCAAAACTTCCGAATTCCGCAAACGATCAAAAAGTCTATCAAACCTCATCCGTATGACCTAAAATTTTGCACTCACATCACCATTGACACAACGGACCTACTCAAATTTCCGGAATCCCATGTCGACCCCGATATCAAAATGACCACTACCAACCGAAAATGCCAAAATTCTAATTTTGCCAATTCAAGCCTAAATCTACCACGATCCTCCAAAATACATTCCGATCACGCTCCTAAGCCCCAAATCACCTAACAAAGCTAACGAAATCATAAAAAATCCAAATCCGAGATAGAATACTAAAAAGTCAAGATTGAGTCAAACCTTTCAAATTTAAAGCTTCAAGCTGAGAATCATTCTTCCATATCTGTTCCAATTATCCTGAAAACCAAAAACAACGATTTACATATGTCATAATACATCTTATGGGGCTAGTCATGCCCGAGAACTGGCGAGCAAAGTGAAAATGCTCAAAACGACCGGTCGAGTCGTTACATCCTCCCCCATTTAAACATACGTTCGTCCTCGAACGTGCCCAAGGTTGTTCCAAAAGCCAACAAATTGTTGTATAACCTTACCATGCACATACCCGTACCCTAGATGTAATCACATGATATACCACATAACTCAACCACTCGTAGCGATAACTTCTAATCGCAGCAGCTGCTCAAACAACCCAATACCGGCAATAAACCCTCTTATCAAACAAGACCTCATTCCAACACTTTCGTATACTGACAATGGTGAATAAAACACGCAGAAAGTCATAACCACTCCTCAGATCAACCAGTCACGGAGCTCCCTCTCCTTTGTCAAGGACCATAGTAAATTTCTAAGCAAAATCTCGATATTATCCTTCCAAGATGCTGAAATCGAATCCGATAGTATTCCTTCTAGATCCCAGTGCCCTCATCTCATCCAACACGGCTGCTCTAGTGACATGACACATCAATAAATCTAAAGCCGCAAGCCGTGCAATCTGCGCACCAACAAGCAACAATCCAAATGTACTTAAATCATGGAAAATAACTCAAATGAGAGAGTTGTACCGCAAGCTCACCAGTACCATCACAACACGATGCTAAGAACCCATCACACATCGTAGAACCATAACACACGAATCTAACCCGAAGGATCATACCTCCACGTAACTTCGCGGCAATGCGCGACCCTATCCAAATACTGGCCCACATAAAACACCTCACGTTACTATGCTCAAAACCAACAACCACGCGCAATTTGATGTCAAGTACCAAAAGCAAATCATAATAACCACGGCGAAACAAATGACATAACACCACACAAACCCGAAAGGACACAACCGATACGCCATCCACCGAGCAATACCCAATACTCTTCCCGCTCGAATTCCACTGTGAGACCCCAATATAACTGCACCGTATGTGCCTATAACCAACAAATCATAATGCCTCACAATACGGGAAGATATCATAGATCACTCCAGAACACTAATAAGCTCAATAACAATAGAATCAACACATCCCTCAATAATAGCAACTCGGAGTCAACAAAGCCGACTCGATGCAGAACACACATCCATATTGGCCTACCAATGAACCCCTTATCAAGGAGTTCTTGAAGCTGCTCCTTCAACTCCTTTAACTCCGCCGGTGCCATACGATACGGTGCCCGGCACCCAATCAATACTGAAATCAACAACCCTGTCCGGCGGCATGCCCGGCAGCAGGAAATACATCCGAAAATCACTCACCACCGAAACTGAATCAATGGTAGGAGTCTCTGCACTGATATCTCTCACGAAGGCCAAATACGAAAGACAACCCTTCCCAACCATCCGCTGGGTCTTCAAAATGAAATCACCCTACTGGGAACATAATCCATCAAACCTCGCCACTCAATCTGTGGCATCCCTAGCATAGCCAACGTCATCATCTTAGCACAACAGTCCAGAATAACACGACACGGAGACAACCAGTCCATGCCCAATATCGCATTAAAATCTAACATACTAAGCAACAAAAGATCCACTCGGGCCTCCAAACCCCCGATAGTCACCACACAAGGCCGATGCACGCGACCCACAACCACAACATAACCTGTTTATGAGAACTCTTAGTCTCCAAA